GAAGCTGCAGCTGAAAGATTAAAAACGTGCAAGAATCTGTTTGTTTATATATTAATTATTATCTGAAGCTGAAGTACAAAAAGAGAAGCCCGGCTGTAATGGGAAGCTGTGAACAGCGTCTGTTGACTTTTTTTTGTTGGTTCTGTGCTTTGTCTGCACTATTTTGCTGTTAAGTGTTTGTGTGTAGATGTGTGAGTGCGTGTTTGTTGGGTGTGGTATATTGAACATTTAGAGAAGTGTGAACATTTGTGCCTTTAGTGCCGTTTGCTTAAACTGTTCTGAGGGATGGGTGTCCTGCCCTGCATCTTTCACAATCTAAATGACAACATATCGAAAATTGAACATAGTATTTGCCAATGATGATTGCAATAACAGGAGAGTGCATTTTTACATTCATGATTTGGAGAATTATGTTTTTTTCTTTCTATTTAGTTAGAAAACAAGACTTATCGCTAACATTTCCTCTTTTTGAGGATTTGACACCTTCTTAGTTTGTCTGTCAGTCTCTTTTTCACCACTTGAGCATATCAGAGGACTGCATCTTCAAGATGGCTGATTCACAGTCATTTCTAAAGCAATGTTTAGGTGTTTAATTCAGTTTATTTTATATGATAATCTTTACCAGAGCAATACAGTACTCTGAGATTTACAAAGACAGTGTGTTATCAGTGCATTTCACCCCTAGAATATTTTTCGGGCAAGTCACTGCAAGTCCTGTGCGAGTGATAGTGCCAACACATGCTGTCATTGTGTACCTTTTATAGGGGGGGGGGGGTGGGGGGGTGGGGGGGGGAATTCTGCTTTAAGATTTGATTCTGTATTCAGTGCTGTTTGTTTAAAACAATAAGTAAGCATTAAATATGTACATTTATATTCCATCTTAAAAAGTAATGTCCTTTTTTACTTAAAAGAAAACTCACCTAAATACCTATTTTGTATGTGTGTGTGCTTATTTATTTTGTTTAAGGAATGGAATTTTTATAAAAACCACCTGGAAAGAACCGATTGATTTGTCAGTAGATTAGCAAAATTTTCCGTGGTTAAAACGGGCCTCCCTTCACTTTTCCGAAGAATGAAAAGCATTGTTTATCATTCTGGAGTCACATCAGTCTCCTCATTCACCTTATAGTTTTTCTGATGTCTGTTATAAAATGTTGTTATACTGATTGTGCTGATTGGAGATTACAAAGCCAGAAAAAAATATTGCATCAGTAAAACAATAACTGGGAATCGCAGTGGTTAGCATGATCGCCTCATAGCAAGAAGTTCGCTGGTTTGAGCCCTGGCTGGGTCAGTTGGCATTTCTGTGTGGAGTTTACATGTTCTCCCATGGTGGTGTGGATTTCCTCTGGGTGCTCCGGTTTCCCCCACAATCCAAAGACATGCGCTATAGGTAAAATGGGTTAGCTAAATTGTCTGTAGTGTATGAGTGTGTGAATGAGAGGGTATGGGTGTTTCCCAGTGATGGGTTTGCAGCTAGAAGGCCATCCACTGCGTAAATATATGCTGGTTAAATTGGTGGTTCATTCCGCAAGGCAACCCCAGATTAATAAAGGGACTAAGCCAAAAAGAAAATAAATGAATGAATAATACAATAACTTGCATTTTGTTACAATGAGCATTAACATTAGAAAAATGGTGAAGTAGAACATTGTTAGTTTGACTAAATTCATTGTATATGTTTGTTGAGCATAAAAGTAAGATAGTGTTGATTTAAGAAGATGTGTGTGTACTCTTTGAGAATAGAATGAATTTTGCACTCTAATGTTGACCTGAAGTCCATCTCAACATGACCGACAAAATCTAATCAAAAGCACTTTTATTATACACACTTTCACAATTAATTCAGAATCAAGAAACCACACCTAACTGTATAAACAGTGATCAAACTGTTGGCTACAGTTAATCCACCATATTTTATATCTATAAATATATTTTATGGCAACCCGATGGCACAGTGGGTATAGCGCTGTTGCCTCACAGCAAGAACGCCGCTGGTTCAAGCCATGGCTGGTTCAGTTGGCATTTCAGTGAGGAGTTTGCATGTTAAATTAGCTGAAGTGTATGTGTGTCGAAGCCGAAAAGAAAATAAATGAATAAATATATATCTTATTTTCCCACTTCTGAAGTGAAGTCACAACTAAACTTGTGCTTTAATAAAAGCTAAACTAAAAATTAAACTCAAACCGCATGGAATAAATGAAATCAATATATAGCATCCCATTTTGGCAAACATTAGTTGAATTATTGTTTACATTTACTACGCTATCTACATATTCAGCTTGTTGAGGATTCTGAAATATAAAATAAATTATAATTTTTTTGCTAAATATATATGTATCAAATGTTTATTTATACTTGTGAAAAACGGTTCATTCAACAGTCTGAAACTGTCAGATTTAGAGCACTAATAGACATCGGAAGTGTTCACAAGATAGATGCGAACTTAGCATAATTAGTCTTATAATGTAATCTCTGAAATAGCTAATCAGAGGTAATTGTAGATCACAATACACTGAATATCCCCCCAACACCTCCCATAAATGTATAAATCGCCTGCTGGTAAATATATATAACTGTTTAAATTACACTCCAAATAACTCCAAATAACACACACTTTATTATCTCTGCATTATTCCAAATGCCTCTTTAGTTAAATGCAGCTAAAGATGCCTTTCATGACAGTACATTTTCTAATTAGGAAGTTCATATTTACCTTGTGATGGCCTTATTATTTTACATAACTAAATCATTTGACATTATAAGATGTAATATCTCACATGATGTAATATAAGTCCCAGGTGTCCCTAGAATCTATGCGTAATGGATCATTTATTATTCCATGACAATATCTGTCAAGCATCTCTACTGGCATAGCAACAATACTAAAGCAACTCAACCAGTTCTTGCTCAGTATGTGCATGCCTTTCTCTCTAAAACATTGCTTCTTTAACCGCAAAGAGGGCTCGAGGAGGAGCATTTGTTATTCATGGAACCATTTAATTCCATAAAATGTTCTTTATAGTGGAAAAATGTTGTTAATAGGGATGCTACGATCAGGACGTTTGCGGCGAAAACCAAGTACCAATTCCTTGTCATGGTGATCATCCAATACCAAGAACAGATTCTGATGCTTCAAGCTTTATAATGCATAAAGCACATTTTCCCTCCAAGATACTTAAGTGGAGATCTTGCCTAAGAGAATAAATTAAAGATTACTTTAAAGTATCTCTTATAACCATTTAGTGCAAAACTTTATCAAATGAAATAAGTGTAGTTAACTCAAAATTGACTGAAAGCTAATTCTACTCAGCTTAAATGGAGTAAGTTCACAGTACTCATATAGATTAGTTTTTTTAACTCAAATGGTTTGTTGCAATTAGTTTCCTCAAATGGTTTGAGTATTAACTTATTGGTTTTACAGTACTCAGTTGGTTTTAGTTCTCTTCAGTTATTGGGTTCCTGCGCTGAAATTGCTTCGTTAACTCAAATGGATTAAGTTCACAGTACTCATTAGGATTAGTTTTTGAACTTAAATGATTTGTTGCAATTGGTTTCCTTGGTTTGAGATACATGTATTGGTCACAAGCAGTTTTACAGAAAATAATAGATAAAACAGATACAAAAGTCAGTAAGAAAAATCACTAATAAAGCCATTTGGAAATATTGCAAATGATGGAAGAAGAATATAATCAATAAAGTTTGGAGTGCATATTTGTTGCATAAAAAAATAAAATGCACACCTATGAATCCATTACTTCTTTACTAAAATGAAATAGGTTCACAAAACTACTGCTTACAATTAGTATATTACAATAAATTATATTATTAAATACTCTACAAAAAATATTTTTTTAGGTTTTTAATTTCCCTAATATTTTTAAGCAGGTGAACTTTCAATTTAAAAACAAGGAACATTCAGTTCTGACATGTAAAATGATTTCAGTTCTTATATGTCCTCTGCTTTTAAACTCGTAAACAAATTGTAATTATAATTGTGATCGGTTCATGAGATCGGCCAGATTAGCGAGTACAGATCGATTCATGAAATGTGGTTATCAGCCGATACTGATCTCTGTCCGATTGATTGAAGCATCCCTAGTTCTTACATATTCAAATTTTCCTCAAACTTATTAAAACCTTTATTTTTAAAAGAGATTCACTTAAATATTTTTGCAGAATGCAAAATGGTTTTTCTGTGTCATGGCTGCTAAACCTTACTTTTAGATTCTTTTAAAGAGTGTATGTCATAGATTTTCCATATTTTGTGATTCATGTTTTTTATTATTATTATTATTATTATTATTATTATTATTATTATTATTATTATTAATTTACTTTTGCTTTTTAATTGCACTGTGGGACCTTGATCTTTCCTCAATTCTTTTGAAATTGAAAAGTTTGAAAAGGTGACTTTTAAGAGTTTGATGTGATGTATTGTCTTGGTTGGTGTTGTAAATTGCGATACAAAAACCTACTAATAAACTCCCAGCAATTATTACTTAATTATTTCTCTACATAATTTTTTATTATACAATATTTTAATTCAACCCACTAAAAGGTTACACTGTAAAAAGTTATATGAACAATTAGCCCTGACAGCATATGTTTTTAGTTCATTGTAACTTATTAAACTAAATAATCATGCTCTAAATTAATTTTATAAGTTGCGCAAGCTGTTTTAAGTCAGTTTAACATAAGTTCAATGGACTCATAAGGTTCATTTGATTCATTTGAAAGATTTAAGGCAACCCGGATTTTTTTTACAGTTTAGTAATAGTCTCTGATAAAATGCACAGATGAATTTTCATCATGAGGTGTCGACACAGTTTAACATCCCATAATACATTTCACAACTTTAAATAAACAGAAAAAAACTAAATCATGAAATACGGAACCTGTTAATTAACGGATATTTTTACAATGTAGACACGCACTATTAAAATAGGGGATATTATGATGTGTTCATTTCACGGAGAAACCTCAGGACTATAATCAAGGTGTTTAAGGATGTTCAGTGTTTACTGATTTACAGAAAGACTGATGTTTGAGTTGACATTGTAACTTTGCAGGTCATATTTCAGGTTCAAATAGCAACATTATGAAGTGAAGCAAGCTAAAAGTGAATAAAACCAAGAAATATGACTCTAAAACAGGGTTTGTCTGACAGTAACAGAGTTTTTGCAGTTTACAGCTAAATACAAATTATTAACCTGAAAAAAACAACATAATTACAACTAAACTGTCCACGTAGAATCCTTGATTACTACAATAATCATAATCAGATTGTTAAAACTGTTTCTCCACATGTTTTTTTGGAAGTTTATAACCCCATGTCCCTCATCCTCTCTTCTCTCATGCGTCTGTTTGCATACCAGAACTCTGTAATGTCATCTACAGTCACTCTAGGCTGCATCCACAGCTCGTTCTCCTCATTAACCTGTTCCTGTCCTCTTCTCTTCATCCTCTCCTGCCTCTTTCTGTTCTTGTCCTTTCTGTCGGCCTCCAGTGTGGATCCGTTGACGTACCAAAACTCCACTCTCTCTTGCACAGATGCTTTCGGGTCAGCCCAAAGGCTCTGCTTCTCACCCACCTCAACTCGCTTCTCCTTCATCTTCATTCTTTCTTTGACAATCGACAGACGCACCCACAGAAAGATGGTTACTCCTAGAAAAATGGCTGCGGTCATTGCTAAAGCCCATACTGTGATGAAGCAAACTATCGTGGATTGGCGAGACGAGTTCAAACAGGTAGGCCACACATTACTTTCTGTGTCTGTTATGTTGGTGGTGGGATATGTGCTGTTGTCTGTTAAGACATCGGTTATGTTAGAGTTGTTGTTGTTAACGGTGGTGGAACCAATGGGTGGGCCTGTTCCTGTCATGTTTGCACTTTCTGTATGTGTGGACGTTAACAAGTCCTGTGGTTTCGTAGAATGATCTACACCACCTGCAGAGGTGTGATATTCAGGTTCATCAGTAACCACCGAGTCTGGTGTTACTGTGTAAGCTGGCGTGGCTGTGAGAATGTTTTGTGAAGTTAACCAATCTGTTGCAGCTCTTGCATTGATTGTATTCGCTGTTGTGTTGTAATCTTCCTCTCTGTGTTCACTTGTAAAGTCGTAACTTCCCTCAGTGCCACGTGTTTCTCTCCACTGCTCGCTCGTATTAACAAATGTGGCCTGGGTGGAGTTTGTTTCGTAATCTCCCTCATCAGCTTTCGTTGTTTCATCTTCTTTGTCCTTCCAGGGATGGGTTGAGACATTGCTGAATGGATCTACAGTTTGAAAATGATTGTAACTTATGCCTGTTTGATTATTTTCATCCTTTTGTGGCGTCAGTCTTGTGAAGTTAGTGAAAACTGTCGGTGTTGTATTTGTGTAGTTCACAGCAATATCACTAGTATTGCTAATGCTCGCATCTTCATTATTCGTATCATTTTGAGACAAACTGTTGTTGTGTTGATGCAGGGATCTCATTTCCAACATGGAAGTCATGTTTTGAGTTGTATTTGGCTCAGCTGTGTATCTGTCATTATTGTAACTCACGTTTGACGTTGTCCAGGTTTCATTATTTTCGTCCTTTTGTGACGTCAGTCTTGGTGAGTTTGTGTAGACTGCTTTTGTTGGGTTTGTGTAGTTCACAACAACATCATTGCTACCTTCATCCATCATGTGATTTTGAGACAGACTGCTGTTGTATTGATGCATGGATGTCAGATTTAGAGTTGTATTTGGCTCAGTTGTGTCTCCATTATCATTGTAACTCCTGTTTAACATTATCCGTGTTTGATTTTCTTTATATATGTGGGACTTTAGTCTTGTGAAGTTCGTGAAGACTGTTGGTGTTGTGTTTGTGTAGTTCATAGGAACACCACTGGCATTGCTAATGCTTACATCTTCATCATCTGTTTCACTTTGAGATGGACTGCTGTTGTATTGATGAGGAGATGTCATTTCCAGCGTGACGTTTAGCTCATTATTGTAACTCCCATTTGTTGTTTCACTATTTTCATCATTTTGTGAGGTTAGTCTTGGAGAATTAGTGGAAACTCTTGTTATTGTATTTGTGTGTCCTATAGCACCGTTACTAGCACTGCTAATGCTCACACCTTCATCCATCATGTCATTTTGAGGCGGAGTGCTGCTATATTGATATAAGGATGTTGTTTCCTGTGTAGGAGCTGTATTTGGCTGGATGTGCTCTTCTTTGGTCGGATTTGTTGTGTTCTCTTGTGTTATTGTGGTCAGAGGTGAAGAAGGTGTTGCTTTTATTAGGGTCTTGGGTTGCTGGTTAGTTGTTGTTGTTGTTGTTGGAGTTATTTGTGTGGTTTCGATGTAGTCACTCAGGGTGTGTGTGGGCAGAGTGTTGAAATTGAAGGCTGAAACGATGAGGAAGTGAGTGAACCACACTGTGATGGACAGTAAAGTCATCTGCATCGTGACTTCTGTGAAAAACCAAGAGACGCCATGATTACAGACAATGTGACGACATGATGGGGAAATGCATGAAAACAATACAAAATCATACAGTTGACAGTTCAGTTTTTAAATATGAATTAAGACAGGTAAATATGTTTTAATAGCTTTTAAAATGTACTTTTTAATACATACATATACAGTTGAAGTCAGGATTATTAGCCTATCTTTTATTAATTTTTTTTTATATATATTTGCGAAATGATGTTTAACAGAGCAAGACATTTTTTACAGTATGTCTGATAATATTTTTTCTTCTGGAAAAAGCCTTATTTGTTTTCTTTCAGATAAAATAAAAGCAGTTTTTAATTTTTTAAAAATCATTTTAAGGTCAATATTATTAGCCCTTTTAAGCATTTTTTTAAAAGTCTACAGAGAAACCATCGTTATACAATAACTTGCCTAATTCTCCTAACCTGCCTATTTAACCTAATTAACCTAGTTAATCCTTTAAATGTCACTTTAAGCTGTATAGAAGTGTCTTGAAAAATATCTAGTCAAATATTATTTGCTGTTATCATGACAAAGATAAAATAAATCAGTTATTAGAAATGAGTTATTAAAACTATTATGTTTAGAAATGTGCTGAAAAAATCTACTCTTCGTTAAACATAAATTAGGGAAAAAAAATAAACAGAAAGGATAATAATTCAGGGGGCTTAATAATTAAGAATAATTCTGACTTCAATTGGATGTAAAGAATCTGTACATAAGTTTGTTATTTTTATACTCCATAACATTGTAATATGTCAAACTGTGATTAAGAAATGTCTCAAATTAGTGTGTTGACACAGTTGTGCTACTTTATATTTTGTGGAAGTGGTGAGACGTATTTCTTTGATGAGGTTACAGTTCACAGTAGTACTTTACACTAGATAATCTCCAAACTTAAAGAATAAAATTGAATAAACTGCAGTTTATTTTGAGCTTATGGTGAAACAGTTCATTACTCAGTTCATTTAAGACTACATTGTCTTTCAAAGCTAAAAAAGATGTGGATCAGTGTGTTGTTGATCAGTCAATGTAGATCTCTCACTTGTGTTTTCCAGAATTTTAAATAACCTTCAACATTAAAACATTGCCTTTTAGCACTTTGAGTTTCTCTTTCTAATAGCCACCTCTAAATGGCAGCCATTTGGATTTTCTTTGACGATAAACACTCCAGGCCTGCAACTAGTGCAAAGTGAAACTACATGACATCCACACTTCGCTTTTGTGCTTCGCCACGAATAAACAAGAACTCGCTCAAAAACTACACCTGTATTCCTTCTCATTTAGTCCAAACCAGCTGAAAGAACGAAAGAAATAGACGGTACCTGAAGTTCAGAAATCATCACGCTGTCTTTCTTGACGCACAGTGATTTCTTCGTTTGTGCAGTGGTGCCTTCTGGGATACTTCTGTCCTCTGGCTGAAGCTTTGAAGAGACATGAGGAAATGACAGTTTGTTCACCATGGCAACAGTGGGATGAGGTGCAAGGTTGGGGTGAAGCAGGATGTGGTTGGGTGGCTCCGCCTCTTCCCTCTATCAGTGCTGCTGCTGTGGAAGACATAACTAAAAACACATCCTGTTGACTCACGTTGCATTTAGATTGAGCAACTTGACGTCTCTTTAATGAGGACACCAGCATTTGTCATCACTGTATACTGCTTTTATGAGGGGGTAAAGATGACACTATATCTTCATGCCGTAGACATAGGCCTGTCACGATATCTGTACAATACATTGCTCCAAAATATTTTGCGATTAACTAAATTATTGTCATTTTAAGACTCATAATTATACGACGGCAGAATGACAATATAATATCACAATGGAAGTACACTCATCCAAAGAACACATAGTTTTTTTATTCTTAAGAATATTTCATTTAATTATAGTCATTTTAACAGTTGAATAATTAGGCATATGAAAATGCATATATCCTGAACAAATAAATAATAATAAATGTCAGGCACCCACTTGAAAATATACTATAGTAATTTATATTAAATACCATAGTGTTTTTTTTAAACTATACTGACACTGACATATCCAGTAGAGACAGAGAGGTTGTGTATTAAGCTAAAATGCTGCTAGAACTTTTTTTTATGTATGGGCGATATACAGTCACTGGCCACTTTATTAGGTACACCTTACTAGTGCCGGGTTGGACCCCCTTTTGCCTCCTTTGTAGCATAGATTGAACAAGGTACTGGAAATATTCCTCAGATTTTGGTCCATATTGTCATGATAGCATTATCACGCAGTTGCTGCAGATTCTACGATGTGAATCTCCCATTCCACCACATCCCAAGGGAGCTCTATTAGATTGAGATCTAGTGACTGTGGAGGCCATTTGAGTACAGTGAACTTATTGACATGTTCAAGAATCCAGTCTGAGATGATTCGCGCTTTATGACATTGTGTGTTATTCTACTGTAAGTAGCCATCAGAAGTTGGGTACACTGTGGATGAACTTGGCCAACAACAATACTCAGGTAGGCTGTGGCATTGACACGATGCTCAATTGTTACTAATTTGCCCAATGTGTGCCAAGATATATCCCCCAAACCATTACACCACCACCACCACCTAAACTGTTGTAACAAGGCAGGATGCATACATGCTTTTATGTTGTTGATGCCAAATTCTGAGCCTAGCATCTGAATGTTGCAGCAAAAATCAATATTCATCAGCCCAGGCAAAGTTTTTCCAATCTTCTATTGTCCAGTTTTGGTGAACCTGTGCGAATTGTAGCCTCAGTTTCCTGTTCTTAGCTGATAGGAGCGGCACCCGGTGTGGCCTTCTGCTGCTGTAGACCATCCGCCTCAAGGTTGGAAGTGTTGTGCGTTCAGAGATGCTCTTCTGCATAGTTTGGTTATAATGAGTGATTATTAGAGTTACTGTTGCCTTTCTATCAGCTCAAACAAGTCTGGCTATTCTCATCTGACCATGTCTACATGCCTAAATGCATTGAGTTGCTGCCATGTGATTGGCTCATTAGAAATTTGCGTTAACGAGCAGTTGAACAGGACATGTCCATGTGTTGTGCAATAAGTTGATAAATCGATTATTGTGACAGGCCTATGTGGACAAGGACTTGTATATATATTTAGAAAAAATAACAATAATGTAGTTGCCTTCAAATTTAAATGTTATAACCTCACACAACTGATTGTGTTCACAAAAAGTATGTTGTGGTCAACACAAACCATATGTTGGTTTCGTTGGAATTGAATTTTCAGTGTAGATTGGGTCTTAGATAAAGCATGGTTTTTCAAGATATGCACATTTTTCTGCCTCTCCATGTCAACATACAGACATGCGTTGCTGTTCAAAAGTTTAGCATTTTCTTTTGTTGTTGAAAGTCATTCTCAGTTATGTCTCACCAAGGCAGCGCTGAGCAAAAGAATAACAGGTGCAGGATTTACTCAGAATTTGCAAGTACATTTCACAACCACTAAAAAATAAAGAACACTGAATTAAGCCTCATTTAAAACAAAAAAAAAGTTGCAAATAGTTTACTCTTGTAAAACATTATATAAGGCTTACCGCGGTTTAAAAAAGTAAAGGTTTTAAAACTGGCAAAACTTTCTATTATACCATTCTTAAGGTATATATAAGGATTTTTATGTGTTTTTTTTTAAATGTGTTGTAAATAAATGTGTCTTTCTGAAACTAATGGAGAGCAGAAGTCAATAATCTGTTTTAATTATTTAGCCTGACATGTTTACTGTTCTAAAATATTATGAATGTTTCCTAAAATGTATTTTGTTCAATGGGAGAAAGGTTTTGTAATTTTTAACATTTAAAAAGAACTTATTTTAGAGCAGTAATCAATATGGAGTTAAATATTTTTGATTGAATAATAAAGAAACAAAACTAACTCCATATTATCATAATACTGTGATGAACGGGAAACCTTGATATTATTATCCAAGGTTATCATATCGTCAGAAACGTATACTGGACCATGCCTATGCTAGCAATCTTTATTTTATTTATAACTTTGCATGCAAACATTTTACACGCACATAAGTTGCCTTATATGTGTCACATCTGCCATAGTGGAACAAATTAAAAACTTGTCTGTGACTCGACAGTGTTGACAATCATACATATATACCCTGTAAAAAAATCTGTAAATTGACAGTTTTCTGTATTTTGAGATTCATTTTTTCACTTATGGATGCTTTTAAAGTGCATTACGGGGCCTTGATCTTTCCTCTAAAAGCTTTCGATGTTAAAAAGTTTGAAAAATTTACTATTGTTGACATTTTTAATAGTTTACTGTAATAATATTGTCTGGGCGACCCGGTGGTGCAGTAGGTAGTGCTGTTGCCTCACAGCAAGAAGGTTGCTGGTTCGAGCCTCGGCTGGGTCAGTTGCCGTTTCTGTGTGGAGTTTGCATGTTCTCCCTGTGTTCACGTGGGTTTCCGCTGGGTGCTCTGGTTTCCCCCACAGTCCAAAGACATGCAGTACAGGTGAATTGGGTAAGCTAAATTGTCCGTTGTGTATGAGTGTGTATGGATGTTTCCCAGAGATGGGTTGCAGCTGGAAGGGCATCCGCTGCGTAAAACATATGCTGGATAAGATGGCGGTTCATTCCGCTGTGGCGACCCCAGATTAATAAAGGGACTAAGCCGAAAAAAAAATGAACAAATTATATATTGTCTGGTTGGTGTTGTAAATTACGGTACAAAAACCTGGTAATAAGCTTCCAGTAGATTTTATGTTATTTTACAAACTTAAATCTCTGTATATTATTTTTGAAATAATATATTGTCTCAAACTACTAAAACGTCTATAAAAGTTACTCTGTTTAAACTGCAGTTGAATATTCAACATCACAAGTGGACAGCGCAGAGATAAAACTCCCAAAACTCCCAAAATGCAATTCACAAAATACAAAAGCTGTTAATTAACAGATACGTTTTACAGTGTATAAATGTCTAAATCTGCAATATGCTTCAGCATATGAATTTATTAATGTAGTAATTAATTGTGGCATAAATGTATGCATATCTTGTGATCTTTGATATAATGGATTTTGTAGCTAGTTACAGTTTATTATTTACATTTAGGATTATTTTTAGGTCAAAACTGACCAGATGAGTGACTTTATGTTATCTCTTCGCATTTATATCAGGAATGTATGATATATGTTTCTTTATTTAACTAGATAAAAACCCTTTGAGATCAAGACCTCATTTACTAATATGGCTTCATTCTCTTCCATCTGTTTATCCCACATCTCTTTTTGTCCTTTCATTGAAGCCATTGTTGCTGTGTCCCTGTTTAATTAAGGATTGGCTGGATTAGCAGTTTGAGAAAGCCTTAATCTGTTTAGGTCACCGAGACACAGTGGACCAGAGAAGAGCTGAGTGTAATCACACAGAGAGCCAGAGAACAGATGAACCTGAGTTAGTTAGTTTACAGCCGTGACAAATACTATTCAGACACCAGGTTTTAGATGGATGGTGAAGGTGTGAAGGAGCCGCACAGTGAAGATGAGATGGAGCACGAGTTATCCTCTGATGACCAAGCAGAGAGAGATGAGGATGAAGCTGAAGACGATGAGGAGGAGATGGCAGATGCACAGGACAGAGGAGGCCTGAGGAACGTGGAGGACTGGAATGGCTTTATTTCTGGAGGACCAGCGGCTGAAGAAGAGGCGCTGCTGGACTGGAAACCCGGCGACCCTGTGACTCCTCAGTATGTCCTTAGACTGCCAGGATACACGGATGGTGAGGGCAAGAACAAAGCTGCTTATTTCTGTGTGTTTCTTCTTTAATGCAACACTGTACTGATGTTTGCTGTTAATGGTTATTTGTGCAGACTACATGTGCTCCCCAGAAGACAACATCTACAATATTAGCTTCTCACGCTTCAAAATAAGAGATCTGGAAGGTGGATGTGTCATCTTGGATCTAAAACGACATTGTCCAACAGGTATGATAGATCTAAGGGGATAGTTCACATAAAAATTTAAATTCTGTAATTTTAGACACACCTTTAACTTGTTTCGAACCAGTTTATTTTTATTTAGAACAAAAAAATCACTGCTGGAAACCTTGACTTGTCTTGGCTAGATTGACCTACATAGTATTTCCCTACTATGGATGTCAATACTTGCTGGTTTCCAAAAGTCCTCATTATACCTTCCCTTGTGTTTGTCAGAACAAAAAAAAATCTCAAAAAGTGATTTACCTATGTACCGGTTCATTTTTGTTAGTAACAAAAATGAGAAGTCAAGGATGACAGATGCCCTCTAATGGACATTTGTTGCACTAACATTTATCAAATGTATTTCATCCTGCTTTTCACTAAATCTCATCACCAGTGTTGTTTCAGTATTTATATACTATTTATATATTATTGATTTAATTCAATTTTTATGTTATTTTAATTTTAGTTTTTTAAAACTTAAGTTGTTGTGACTGCATACACGATTTAAAATATACTATAATGTTGATTTTAATCTTATTATATTTTAGCATTGTAGTGTAGGTGTGTGTTTGTGTGTGTCATATATATATATGAACACTCACCGGCCACTTTAATAGTCACACCTAACTAGTGCCGGGTTGGACCCCCTTTTGCCTTTAGAACTGCTTTAATCCTTTGTGGCATTGATTCAACAAGGTACTGAAAATATTCCTCAGAGATTTTAGTCCATAGACATGATAGCATCACGCAGTTGCTGCAGATTTGTCGGCTGCACATCCATGATGCAAATCTCACCGTTCCACCACATCCCAAAGGTGCTCTATTGGATGGAGATCTGGTGACGGTGGAGGCCATTTGAGTACAGTGAACTCATTGTCATGTTCAAGAAAACAGTCTGAGATGATTCACACTTAATGACATGCCGTATAATCATGCTGAAAGTAACCATCAGTAGATGGGAAAACTGTGGTCATAAAGGAATGGACATGGTCTGCAACAATACTTCAGTAGGCTGTGGTGTTGATGCTCAGTTGGTACTAATGGGCCCAAAGTGTGCCAAGAAAACATCCCCCACACCATTACACCACCACCACCAGCCAGAACTGTTAATACAAGGCATGATGGATCCATGCTTTCATGTTGTTGACATAAGATTCTGACCCTACCATCCGACTGTTGCAGCAGAAAT